TCAGGGCACTAACCAATATCTTGCCTCTGAAATGACAAAGCGGTAAGAAACCTGGCTGCCAATGAACAAAGACAGACAGTAAAACTTGCTCAGGCAATTGAGCTTTAAAACACTAAAAAAGCTGTGGTGGAAAACCGAGGAGGGGGAAGGGTCCTAAAAACCTTTGGCAATCTCACCCTCTGGTTCGTTTTCCGTGACTACCTTCCATTTCAGTCTTGCTGAGGATCAACACAGCACCAGCCCCTGCAGCACAGACAGGCTCCTGAACACCTCAGGTAAGGGACTGGTTATTGCAGAAAGGATTCACAGCAGCAGGATCCTAAATAACTCAGAAAATACAAGTTACAGCACAGGAATTTTCTCATTTTGAGACACAAAGACCCATCAATTCAACTGAAAATGAAAGAAGGCAGGCTGCCTAATGTCTGCTTGCAGCTCAAAGTGTGGAACTCCAGCCAAGGCAGGCTGAAGGGTTAGTAGGGTAGAGACAGCTTAAAGGTTTGCATGTCTATCCATAGTTACGTTAAGTAGGATTAACAGTGCCAACCACTATCCAGTGGGGGCAGGGGGCATAAAAAGCATGAAGGTTGCTCTGCAGCTGTCTACAGAGTTACACGCACCTTTTTCTGAAGGAATAAGCTGTTGGCATGGCTAACCAGTGATCCAGCCAAGCTGGTCTGTCCTGAGCTGCACTGGTTGCATGCCAGCAAGATCATTTATCTCCTTTAATGGGAGGCAATGACTAGGGCGCTTTCTCTGCCTGCCTGCACACTGCAATGGAGATGCAGAGGAGTTACAGAACTAGGAGACTCTCTGCCCTATATAAATTAGGCTGACATGCCTGCTGTGCCTGGAACTCGCTCCCTACCATTTCTTAACAGGGTGTGTACGTGTAAAAGAGAGAAAAAGAGCAGCTGAAGGAGAAATGAGAGGCAGCTAGGCATTGCTTGGAGAACATGCACTTCTGTAATAGGGAAATTGGAGCTTGTGGGTAGAGCTAGCCTCATTCGGTGGCTTGTGACACTGCATGAGTGCACCAAAAATAATGCGAAGGCAGCATACCTGGGATACCTGAGGAGCCAAAATAGTGTTGTCTAGGTCAGGGGACCAAACTCCTCTGTTAATTCGCAGGGCCTGAAGCATTTCAGTGGGAGAGTCAGCAAAAGTGAGCATTTCTGGCCCAGAAAGGAACATTCGTGGTAAGACCCCAAGGCTGCCTTTGCACTAGAAATGAAGTGTAACAGGAGGTTATGTGCTGGATTGCACATCAAGGCTGTGAACATAGGAGGAGGACAGAGGAGGGTGGGGTATCCTCCAGACACTACTTGAACCATACTAAAAAAAAATTTAGTATGCACAAGATGGAACTTATGCCTATAGGAAGAACAATATAGATCCTCTTTTTTTCCTGAGGGCCTAAGTCTATAGAAAGATAAAGAAAACTGGTATTCTTCTGGCCAAAAATGTATGGATATCCCACCCCCACAAAAAGGCTATGAATGGACTACCACTGTGTGAAATTGTTTCAATCAGTATAACCCACATTTTCTTTCTATAGTCCAGCTTGGGAGCACTGGAGGAGTATTTATTTCCCAAAGGACAGGCTGCCCTTGCAGCTATTTCTGGGCCTTCTGCCAGAGCAAAAGCTATTTGGAAGATTTTACCATCATTCTTTCTTCATTTTCCAACACTGCAGCTGTGGATTTATTTCCATAAGCGTGCTGCAAAGGTGCATCTGATCCTCCACACAGGCACATGAAGATGTTGTCAGCAGTGATGGCTTCCTCTTCTCGTTTTGAAAGAGAAGTGGAAGCGCCTGGGTCTCTCTAAAGGTAGGGCAAAGAGGAAGGTGGTTATAAATATCGTGACAACAGCAGAAACCAGCTCCTGAGAAGGGGCTGTAGGTTGTCTGAGCAGCTCTGCGAGCAGTGAATAGCCAGGGCTTGTTTGGTTAGGGGGGGGAATACTGGACACCTATTTACCATGAAGTACAGAATTTGCTAAGGAATCGGGAGCCTGAGGGTCACACATGCTGTGTGCGTGAAGTCTACTTCACTGCCCTTAATTTAGAGGAAAAATAACTGAGACGGACATCCCATCAGCTGTGCCAACTCCAGATTCAAATAGCTTTTATATAACGTAGATTGGGGGAATTCCGTTGTTTTCAAGGATGTAGAAGAACTGGGCTCCTCTGGGGATAGGGAAAGCCTGCATTTCATGCACTACAATCTATTTCTGGACATAGTATCATGCTGTATGCAAGCCACAAGGATTCAATTTAGGCACATTTGTTCTGTGAGGCTGTGAGAAAAAGGAGACAGCTCCCGGAGTTTGCAAAATGTAAAATCAGTCACCAGGCAGGAGGCTATCAGAATTTTTATCCTGTGGGCTGGAGTTTATGTGACAGTGTCCTCGGTGTTCCTTGGCTCCTGCTGCAGGCTGGACAAGCTGCTGGGCTGCAGAGCCCAGTGGCGTGATGCCGGCTGTGCCTAACGCAAGCCTGGAAGAAAAGTCTAGATAAAAAACACAGAGGAAGAGTCAGCTTTAATCTCTAGCCCATGCAAAATCTTAACTAAGTTTCTAAGTATGGAAACACGGCGTCATTTCAGCAGGCATTGCATAAGGTTGCCATATTGGCTGCATCTGCAAAGCCACGAGCTCAGAGGCTTGGCAAGCAGGGATGCTGCTGACTGCTCTTCAAGGGCAGGTTCCTGATTCTCCTACAAGGAGTTCTATAAAACACACACACGGCTACAGGGAGCAAAGTAGCATGGATGTGTCACGCATTCCTACTTTTCTCTTCCAGCTCTGATCTTCCTTCCCTGGAGTGAATGTAATTTGGCAAATTGGAGCTACATACTCTCTGGAGGGCTGTAGAAAGCAGAATCGTGTATTTACTGGCCTGCACAGACACTCCCTCATCTGCCTGCAGAGCATGGACTCAAAGAAAAATTGATTTTAGCCGGGAGGGCTCACAGACAACACTGCCTATCCCTACACCGTGGTGTAGGGATAAATGTGCTATCTTTCTAGGCTTTGGAAGAACTGAGTAAGGGCTGCAAAACACACCCACTGTCCCTCTAGCCCTGGCTGTTGCCAAGTTTAAGCAGGTGTTGTTATGGCTCTAAGGGAAGTGGTCGCTCTGTGGTGGGAAAGGGGGATCAGTATGGAGAGGTTTTCTGTGCACTCATACCAGTTACCATGTTTTCTGTGGCTCAGCTGAGACTAAGCACATTGACACCTCAGTTGCAGATTTGACTCATCAAGGGAAAGCCTATCCTGCTTATTGGGCTTTTCTGCCTCTAATTATCCCAATTCCCAGCCTGACAAGTCCAGCTGATGTGAAGGAAACCTATTACATTTGTCTTCCTCCCAAAAGACAACAGTCCTTTGTCCTTGCACACAATCTCCAGTAAGCTCTGGAGAACAAAGCGGCACTTAAAGCAGGACCTTGGCATGCCTGCCAGTTTGCAGTGCATCCCATACAGCACATGGCAGTCAGTGCCCTCACCCAGGTGGTGAGAGACTACTCAAAGACGCGGAACTCATTGTCCCATAAAACCCAAGAGGAGGGTGTTAGTTACCCATGGCACTTTCAGTGTGGCATGAGCCCTAACTCTTGACACAGAACCTTCTTGCTTTAATTTAAATGGCATCCACGCCACCTGGGCACCTGCTATGAGCATGGACAGGCCAAGACACCACAGAGGCCCTGGCTCATTCAGCCCTCGTGCTGCCAGCAGTTACCTGCCTCACCTGCCTGCTGGAGGAGCCCTCGCACAGAAGGTCCCTGGGCTGTTGTCCCATGATCAGCTAATGGCTTGGACAAGGAGGGCTGGAGGACTTGCAGCCCAACTCGAGGATAGAACGAGCTCAAGTGTCAGAAACCGTGACCCCCACCAAGCTGCACCTGGTCAAACCATTTTCTAACACCTTTTAAGACCTTTTCCCTCCCCACTCCAGCACCAGCTGGAACCCTGTGTGCATGCACCAGCCAGGCTGGGATGTCCAGGTGCCCGAGCTGGGCAGCTCACTGAGCCATGTCAGTGCAAGTGAGAAGGAATCAACTCCTCAGGAAAGGGCATGCACATCCACATGTGCTGTTAAATAGGGGTATCAGTGGCCAAAAAAACCCCTGAACACACAAAATAGTCGAAAACAGCACATCCCAAACCTGAAGCAACTCTGCCACCTCCACAGACAGGTGCTGCTCCAGCACACCAACCCCTTCACCACACCAGCTTAGTCAGGACTAGAGCTGCAATCGAGTTGCAGCCTTGGTAGGAATCAAATTTATGTTTACACCTTAAAATTTGACTTGTCAGTGGGTGACTGAAGAAACCTCCAGATCTTTACTTTGGTAGACGAGTGTCATCCACCAATGAGAGCTACCGTAACCCTGCCCATTTGGCCAACCTCACACAATAGTGTGAGGGCAGCCCCTACCCCAACTCCATCAGCTAGGGCAAGGAAACACCTCCTGCCATCTGAGGTAGAGACCCACAGAGACATGACAAGTCAAAGTGCATTTGAACCCTGCCACTACTTGTCTCCCAGCAAGCTGCATGTTTCTTAAAAATGTTTGCAATTTTGTTTTGGATGCTGGACCATTCTTTTAAGACAATGTTCAAGTCCGCACACACACACGACTCCAACATGCAACATCACTGACCTTGTGTCTTTTATTACCTAGTTTTATCTTCCAGTGACTCTCCCAGATCAATTCTTTAAATGGGCTTATACATCTACTGCTGAAAAACCCAAGGCACCCCTGTATGATCTTCTATTTTAGTATATACCGAAACTAGAGGGTGGCAGTTCAACTGAGACACTTTATTAAGCAAAGCACTTTGTGCACTTCCACTGCATCCACTGCCCAGCAGAACAAGCAGCAGAGCATTCCACGTTCACTGCTAGACACCCAAGAGATGATTGTGCTTGTACCTGCACCCAGGTGTGGTGCAAATCTTATTTTACACATACCCATTAATCTCACATAATTGCACATTTACTATAAAATTATTTATTAGACAGCAATACACAGCTTTAGCATTGAGCTTATATACATGCACATCAACACTGCTGACTACTCAGGGACCCTAGCTCTTTTGCCCTTGGCCTTGCGGACCTCTTCTATCAGATCTTTCAAGTACTGGATTTCCTTACTAAGGGAATCTGCTTTCTCCTTCAGAGCCTGGTTCTTCTGCTCCAACTCTCTGCACTCCCCAGACAGTGCCTCCTGTTCTGCCCTCTTTTTCTGCCGGTAACGTGTGGCAGCAGTCTTATTCTGCTCCATCTTTTTCAGTTTCTTATCTATTTTCTTTTCTCCTTTCACCTTTGCTGACACTACCTTCTCTGCAGGATGATCGTATGGTTTGGACCGCACAGAGCCACAGCTGGCATCTGTAGGCAACTGGTTGCCATTGGGGGATCTGACTGAATCGGTGGGGCTATGTTGGGGGGTTCCCAGGTAGGAGTCTGGGCTCATGCATATTCCACTATCATCAGAATTCTCCTCCTCTTTCTCAGACTTGGTGATCACTACCACAACAGCAGGGCACTCCTGCTTTCTTTCTCCTTCCAGAACATCCACTTCACTACCTAGTTCTAAACTAAATGAGTGGTCTGGAGTGGAAGTCAGAGACCCTGGGGAGAGGGGAAAAGACCAAAGGGAAGCAGAAGCCAGTGGGGCCACTGGATCTGCTACAATTGGAGATTCGGGGACATGGCTGATTAGGTCGTTTATCAGTGGAAGTTCTTTGTTGCGAAATTCCTGGATGGTAGCATTAAATAGGAGATCACACGTGTCTTCCAACGTGGCAATCAGCTCGTCTGGTGAGACGGTGGCTTCCAGATGTTCCATACCTAACAGGGCATCGAAATCAAATTCCTTCAGATCCATCTTCTCCACCATCCACTCCATGCCAGAGAAGGCATCCTCTGCACAATAAAACAATAACCACATAAGTATCAACCATCAACCAACACAACTCAAGCTTTTGGAAATCATCTAGCAGCTCATAATTATTTAGCATCTTCTCTTACACTGGTATGAAAAGAATAAACCATCAGAGAAAATACCCTGCCACTGAGCAGTCAAAGACTGCAGGGTACAATGTAAGAAGTCAGCTGTTGCGACATTCCAACCTTCTTACTCAAAGACCAGAAGAATTCAGGGTCGTCTGAAACGCACAACCATGCTTTTTTCTTGTGACCTCTGCCAGGAAACAGTACCATTAGCAACTGGTATGTTACTAACAAGGCAACGCAAGTGTCACTTCACCATAACCAACAATTCTGTGTTGTGTAAGAAGCACAATACACGCACTTTCCAAGAAGAGGTAATGCATGTGAGGTTGCCTTCACATTTATGAAGAACTAGCAATTTATTTTCAACATGAACATTACTGAACTATTATATACCACTATAAATGATGCACTTTATGCAAGTAAATAATAACTTACCCTGGCTGCTATCTATGGTGTTGCCTAAACTGTCCACAGCAAGCCAATTGGAGGAGACTGCCTTAGCCTTGTCGCTGGAGAACCCATGCGAACCGAGGGGCTCGGCCACCTCCAGGTAGTCATCTAGGAGTCCCAGACTTTCCTCAGCCACCGAACACGGCTGGCTGAAGGGGGATATTGAATCCCCCAACAGCATCTCGTTGTTCAAGAAGCTCATCTTCGTCAGTTTTTAATGCTTTGACGTCAAAGGATGTGGTCAAGTAGAGGGTCTTTTCGTCGACTACAGCAATGCTGCTGTGCGATGCCGTGAAAAACCTGCCAACAGAACTTAAACTCATCAGTACCGGCTTTGACCGACATAGTAGCCCTTTAAAGCTGTGACACTTCGGATACACGGCGGTACTTCCCGTGCCGCAGGCCGAGTACAGCCGGGCGCGGGCTCCAGCTGCGCGTCCCCCGCCTCCCTCATGCCCGGCCAGGGGCGAGCCCCGCCCACCCGCCGCCATTTCGCGATCCGGCCGCCATTTTGTGCCGTGCCACGTTTCCACCGCGGTTCCGGCACCGACCACAGCCAGCCGCCCACCCTTCACAGGGCTCCCTCGTGCCCCGTGAGCAGGGCAGGATTAAGGCTACAGTACTTAGATATTTGATATTAGCACTGCTGCCAGCTTGGTAACAGCGCTCGTTTATCTACTCCTGACTATAAACCAGAGTTGTACTGGTTTTCAAAACCCCAGTACCTCCAGTGCCCCGTTTTCCACCAAGTACAGCATTTCCCCTCGCGGGCGAGAAGAAAACCTCCCTAGGAATGTACTGCTTTAATTTTTTTCCACACGAAGCCCCCATGAACATAAATAAGTACTTTGGAATCGAGGTTTCTTGAACGAAAGGAGATATGGACGTTCCTCGTAACTCATTCCGAAGTGGTATTTCCTGCCATTTCTGACACCCACCGCCCTCGGGACGTTGAGCCCCACAAAGACCCCTTCTCCCCGCCCCCATTTTGGTATACACAAGTGTTTTATATATTATTTTGGTATACCTAGGTATCTCCCCCCGCCTCCCGCGAGATACCACCGATCACCGCAGAGATAATAAACCCGCCCCAGAAGCCAACTTAAAGGAGGTAAGAGAGTGACATTCAACACAGAGGAGAGGGAGCAACCATCCCTCACACACAATACTCACGCCATGGTTGCAGATGCCGGGGATGTGCTGTGGCCGCCGCCGCTGCTGCTGCGCCTGCTGCACTGGCCGATGCCGCCACTGGCCCTGCCGCCTTAAAGAGCCATGGCGGCCAGGGGAGGGGGGCTGCTCGGGGCTGCGCCGCGCGGGGAGGTGCTCCGCTCACACACTGCTACACAACCGCAAATCTCGACGTCAGGCACACAATGAGGTAGCACCGCCCGCGCGCAGCCCTTATATAGGAACCGCCTTAAGGCAGACCAAATGCGTTAGCGAGGTGTCCTTCCGCCAAGCGTCACCTTCCTCTCTCTAGCGCCTATCGGCCTGTGTCCTGTCTTTCTAGGCTTCTCTCCTGTCGTTCTGCTACAGGTTAAACGCAGGAGCCGCCGACACAAAACCACCAGGACAGAACAGCCACAGAGGGACTCTTATGATGGACAGCTACAGAGGGACTATATGGTGTACATCCGCCGCGGCCGCCCCTCCGGCGGGCGCGGCCGCCCCACGTGACCGGAGCGGCTCAGGACGCTCCCCCCTCCCCCCCCCGCGGGGAGCGTTGCGGAAGGTTTCACCCTCCAACAAGGACGCGGCGCTCGCGAGGGAGGCGTCACGCGCCTCTCCACGTGGGAAGGGCGGCGCTCATTGGCTTCGGGCGACTCGTTCACCGGCACCGTGAGCTGTCATTGGCCAGGGCACGGAGGAAACCAACGCTGAGGGGAGGGGGGAGGAGAAGGGGCAGCTGGGCAGAGAAATGGCGGCGGGCCGGGCCGGGCTGGGCTGGGCGAGGGTGGGGGAGCAGGATTGCAAGGGGGCGGGAAGGAGCAATTGGGCAGGGAAGTGGTTTTCTCCAGCCACGCGTCTTCTCTGACATGCCCCTTTCGAAGCAGCGCGTGCTCCCCACTAGGATTTCCAAGGGCTCCTTTTGTTCTCTCCACAAAGCCCCGCCGAGGTCAGGCGGGCGCTGGCGGCGGTGGCAATGGCGTGCAGAACGCGCTGAGGCGGCGGCAGCAGTCCGCCATGGCCTTCTGCTCCTTCAGATAACGCGTCAGCTCAGGGCAGCGCTGCCTTCTCTCCCTCCCTCCCTCCCTCCCTGCCTGCCTGCCTGCCTGCCCGCCCCACACATGCAGTGCCTAGATTGTAGCTGCTCCATGTCTGTGTGTGGGGCGGTGTCTGCTCGCGGCCTGCCGTCCTCACAGCGGCCGTGGCGCCGCACCGACCCACGGAGGTTCTTGTCTGGAGAGCTGGGCGGCCGAGACCACCTCTCTAATTAGTGCCTTCAACCCATGCAAGGGCTGAAAATGAAGTTGTTATTCCCCAGCTGAGAAATGAGAACGTCCTCTCCCGCCATGCAGTTTCATGCTGATGCAGTAGATTCTCTGTTCTCTGTGCAGATGTTACTCTGAGTGGTGTGAGCATTAATGGATCACCCACAGAGCCTCGCCGCTGCAAAGGGCAGTGTCACCTTGGATAGTTTTTAAAGTGCAGTTTCATGTTATGTTTTATCTGATCCAAATCAACTTGCTGCTAGGAAAGAAGTCAGATCTCTTCCCCCACCCTATTCCTGCTTAAAGGTTCCACCAGCTGGCTTGGCCCTCTCTGAGCTCACAGCCAGCAGGAAACTCACAGGAGTCAATAACTTTTCCACTGGTTTCGGTTCCTCCATCATCATTTCACTCTGGTCAGACGAGCATTGGCCAGCTCTGGTGAGCTGGGAGGTTCTTTGTCCTTCCTGTCACAGTTATCTGGCTTCAAAAGGTTGGTTTTCCACCTTGCCGGCTTCACAGCACCATTAGCTCTGGTGGGTCCTCATTTGTTCAAACATCATTGTCCTGTGGGTCAATTTGCTCTCAGCTGCTTCTACAGAAGGCTCCGCTATTTTCTAGTTATGGCCTCCATAGTATTTGTGTAAAGCCATAGCCGCGTTTTTCAGATCTAGCTGCCTGGAACCTCTTAAACAGCTTGACTGACAATTGGCGAGGATGTGATGTGACACAGTTTCTACTTTTAGCAGTCTGATGTTACCACCATTGCTACAAACAGAGCATGTCACTCCACATCTGTAAAGTAAACCTAGCTGATGAACGAAAAAAAAAATCAGTTTTCCCTTCATGTTGGTTTGTTACTATTTTATTTGGGGGGGGGTAGTTTGGGGGGGGTTGGGTTTTTTTTCTTGTGGTTTGTGTGTGTGTGTGTAGAAGCAAGCACATATTTTGTAATGACTCATTAAAATGGAGGAGGCAAAGAAAAATTGTATTTTTCAAAAATATAATTTTCAAAAAACCACTGCAGTAACTAGATCGACTGATCTAAGATGACTGCTCTGATAAATACACTACAGAGGAGGCAGTTCTTGCTTCAAAGCAAAATTGAGAGGGTTCGTCAGCTTTTAAAGAAGCCAAGTGGGTGATTAGCTGGGTGGACAGCACTTCTGGGTCCTCACTGGCTAAGGGAGAACTCTCAGATCCCCTGCTGTGCCTGTTTCCCCCTCCTTTAAGTGAAAAGAAAAGGGTGATTGTATGACCATAATCGTAGCTAAATAAACAGAAATGCTATACACACCCAATCCTTCATCATGAAAAGATAATTATAGATTTCTCTGAAAGGACTCTGGGTATGTGTGCGCAAGAATCACGTAAGCAAAAATAAAATATGCAATGAGGTACTTAGCCCAGATCTGCCTGTTGCCTAGCTCTATTTTGTGTGTGAAATAATGCTGAAATTTGACTGCGTTACTGGTTCTAGACAGATCCTTTGTAATGATGCCCAATCCAGAAAGGGAAATCAAGTAATAAGAAGCCAGACATTTAGAGAAAAGCATATTTTTCCTGCAAGACTGCAGAATTACTGTTGTTACATAATTTCATGAGCTACATCCCCAATTCCTTTATAAATTATGTTTCTGCTTTTGCACATATTGTGTCAGAGATGTCTCCACTCTGGATAGAGTTTTTGACCAAGGTAAACGGTACTTCTTTAAGCACAAGCAACAATTTCTTGTGAATTTTTGCACAAAAAAAAAAATTACAAGTATTTTTGAAGCAGAGAACTACTAGTTCAAAAATGTCTAACAAGAGTTCTGTTCCAGTATGACAGAATATATTTGTGGCTCAGAGATAGAAGAGAGAAGTCTGGCAGCTCTGAAGAAAATTTAATTTACAACACAAAAAGGTGGCGTCTGAAGGAAGATCAATTTGTGTGAGGGTCAGTGAACTCCTGCTGTCACGTTAACAGCTTCAGCACCACGGATGTTATTTTCCTGCCCTGGATACCGTACCACGGCAAGGAGAGCTCCTGTGATAAGCGAGATCCATCCTGACCCAGAAGCGAGGGGCCGGCTGCAGGGGAAAGGAGCTGCTCGTGCAGAGCTCACTGCAGGAGAGAGGCCAAAGACAGACCTGGCTGGGAGGGGATGAACTGCCCTGATAAATACAGCACGGCAGAGAGCCACCTCCGGCCAAACAGCATCACCAGGAGGTGGAAAACTAATACTCCTCCATTCTTCCTCCTTCTTCATTAAGATGGAAGGTCAATGTATGTTCTTTAATTATTTTTTCTTTCTTTTTTCTTTTTTTTTTTTTTTTTTTTTTTTTTTTAAGTAAACATTGCAAAGGAAAAGAGGCTTTCTTCTTCCACCAGCAAGTATACAGGAGACAAACATTCTGAATGCTGTTAGCAAGTACAGTAAAGACCGGGAGGACGTAAATGTTTCCATAGTAACATCCCCTTGCACAGTCTGCATAGGATGCTCTCAGGAGTGTCAGCGGCAGGGGAAAAGGCCTCTGCAGCAGGGAAGCAAGGAAGGTGGGGAGCAGTGGGCATTGCTGGGGCCAGGAGGGGAACCAGCAAAAGTAACTGAGACAGAGATGTTTGCTGTTCCTTGGAATGCTGGGAAAGCTGCAGCCAGGGAGAAGGGCTGGCTGACACTGCATCAGGAGGGTGTGTGACCCCCGTGGTGGCACTGGGCAGGCAGCTTTGGGCCCCCACTGAGCCTCAGTGCCCCAGAGAAGGGGCAGATGGGCTTCCTGCTGGCCCTGCGTGCTGCTGGGGTGGCTGGGGAGGAGGGGTGAGTGTGAGTGCAAGTCCCCAAGGGAATTCTTGTGAGTGGTAACTTGAATCCTTTGAACCTTTCATCACAAGGGACAGGAAGCCTTATCCCACACTTCAATGAACAAAGCATTTCCAGAGACCAGCAGGAATCTTTCCAGGAGACAGGAGTGGTGAGGGAAACAAGGGAGGAATGAAGCAAAGCAGATAGACATTTTGAGCCATTTTGAGGGAGAATTACCTACAACCTCTACGGCACAGGCTAATTTGCAGTGCTCAGTTGCTTCTGTCCTCAAATGGCACAAACAAATATCTGAAGGATCTTTTTCTGCCAGATTCTCATTGTAAACTCTTTAGGGATTCCTTTATAGAGATTCCATTTTGAAACTAGATTGAAAAGCAAATATATGTGATTAAAGATCAGGCTGGGAGGTATTAGCTTCCATCTTTTATTACATACAAACAGAAAATAGGTTATCCGTATGCTCTGCCTCCTTTGTTTTGGAGTAGTACAACAAATGGAATCCCTAATAAATCATTCATTACCTACCCACCCACCCCCTTACTGTCTTCTCTTTCCATCCTGTAATATAAATATCCCTGACATTAGAAATGAGACTAATAAAAAAGAGGATTAAATCTGCAATTTACATTTGCAACTTACAATTCAATTATTTTAGATAGATGTGGAAACAATCCTGGTTGTCCACCTACATTTTTCTTACTGAACAAACATGGGCATGCCAAGCACATGCCGATAGCTCTCAAAATATGTCTCTCCAGAGGTTTAGTTACTCAGAATCAGCCAGGCTGTGGCCAGCTGCCACAAGTAAAAACATTGTGTAAATCTGGTAAGAGTGAGGTGAGCTTTATCTTGTAGCTTGCCCAAACATGAATTTCCTGAGCAAAGCTACAACTGGTTGAAAATGATGTTTAGCAAAAAACATGTGTGAAGGAGGGGGAGGAGGGGATGCTAGCTTTTGTTGAGACCATCAGGGGATATTTTTAGTTTTCTCATTGTCCACCCTTGTGTTATTATATTGAATGGATTTGGGGGTCAAGAATAATCCCTTGTGTATTAGCACATGTGGGCTCAGTTTAGCACAGACACAAAAGCCTTCCAGTTGTCCAAGCAATAAAAGAACAGAAACATATTTCAT